AAAGGAAAAAAAAGAAATTCATGGACACCAAACCAGCACTCCAAAATATTCTCAAGAGTATTGTAGAGACAATTAAATCAACAATGCCAAACAGTCCTAGAATGAATACATATGGCAGGATAAACACTTTTGCAAATGGGAAAAAAAAGGAAATCAGCAACAGGAAAATAATGCAATGACAGAAATAAGTCAATAGCTTTCAATAATAACTGTCATTGAGAATGGTCTCAGTTCCCCAATCTAAAGACACACATTGGCAAAATGGATCAAAAATAAAGCTCAATGACATGCTATATGCAAAAAAGACATTTAACCCAAAAAGAAATTAGCAGATTTTAAAAAACAAACAATATTCCATGCAACAAGGACCCAAAAACAATCAAGAGTAACTATGCTATTTTGAGACAAAGTGGACTTCAAGCCAAACCTGATCAGAAGACACAATGTTCACTATATATTGGTTAATGAACAATTCAAAAGGAAGAGATAATTATAAACATATATTCACTGAACAACAGTGAACCCAACTTCATAAAAGAAACACTACTGGGCTGGGGATTTAGCTCAGTGGTTCTGGTGCCTGCCTCACAAGTGCAAGGTCCCGAGTTCAATCCCCAGTACCAAAAAAAAAGAAACACTACTAGACATAAAAGGTCAGATAAATATAAATACAATTAGAGTGAAGGACCTCAATACCCCACTGTCACAAATAGATTAACTAGAAAAAAATTAACCAAAAAATTAGAGTTGAAAAAAACCTTCAAAAATGATTTTAGTAGATATCTACAGCATATTCCACACAACAACAACAAAACACACATTTCTATCAGAAGCACGTGGGATTTTCTCCAAAATAGACCATGTAATAGTCAATAAAGCATGCTTAAATAAATGTAAAAGAATTGAAACTATACCAGGCACATTATTAGATCATAACGCAATGAAACTAGAAATCAATGACCAAAAAACCCCACAGAAATAGTGCAAATACATGGAAATTAAACAATATACTCCTGAATAATCAATTAGTCACAGGAAAATCAACAAAGAAATTTGAGTTCCTGGACTCCAACAATAATGCCAGTGTAGTATACCAGAACTTATGAGATACAATGAAAGTAGTCCTAAGAGGGAAGTTTAGAGCTGTGAATGCCCACATCAGAAAAACAGAACAAGCCCAAATAAATAACCTAATGATGCACCTCAAGCACCTAGAAAAACAAGAC